CATTGCCCACCATCACAGGTCAATTTATATTAGAGAGCACCATTATTTGGCCATCACAGCTCAATGGACGGAGCACCAACAGTCTTCATGTTTCTACTATTTAGAGTGAGTCCCTGGGCCTTGTGGAGGGGTGGAGACTTCGAGCCTTTCCCCTATCTTAAGCCACCATCCCCCCTCTGTACCGTCTTCTCCTTCCGGCGGAGGGAGGAGGGCAGCTTCATCTCGGTTCGTCGTGTTCTCTCTGTGTCCGCCAAGACCCAGCGCTCACGACTGACAGCGAGAGTCTCAGTAGATGTTAGATTCAGCCAGTGTGACTGACTGACTGCCTTAGGCAGGACAAGGCCCGTTTACATTCAACACCATAGGACTCGCTGCTTGATTGTGTTGATGGCCTTTTTTGATGGCCGTATCCTTGTTGTTGTTGTTGTTGTTGTTGTTGCGCGGGAAACTCGCGCTCTTGGCTGCGCATGCATGCAGCATGGCGTTTTTCGTTGTCCTTTGTCAAGATCTTCGAAGTGAGTATGTTTGTATACCCTTCTCGGGGGGTTGACCTACCTGTGACCACGGAAGGAAGGCATCATCCGCGTTGTTGTCAGTTGCCTAACCCTACCCCTAACCGGTAACCGGTACGGGTCTGTCTGTGTTAAACCGGTATGGATGGGTGTTAAACCGGTAACGGGTGTCAGAACGTGCTGCAACATGGGATCGGTGTGCTGGGAATTCCAACCCGAAGAAACAAGTATTATTTTTGTCATCATCTGTTTCTTTCTTTCTTTTTTTTTTCTTCTTTTTTTCTAGTCCGGCAACAATTAGTCCGAGTTCACGAAACAAAGGTATGCCATCACCAATCGCAGTAAGTACGAAGTACCGAACGGCACCAACCACCGTTGGCACGCAGTTTTTTTTTTCTTCTGATTTTGGTCTGAAGAACTTGCGGCGAAAATTATCGTGAGACGATCGAAGTCCATGTGTGGCGGTGTCCATGTGTGGCGGTGATCCATGTGTCGCGGTGATCCATGTGTGGCGGTGGGTCGGGTGTTGGTATCCAAGGAGAGAGGAGGTCAACATCGGGCAGACAGAGTGAGTGATGAACGTTGGTCGTGGATGACGTGACGGCACTCGAAGGTTTGGCCGCGAAGAGTCGACCGCGGTCGGTCGTCGGTCATGACAAAAGAGACAAGACAGACAGACTCGGATTCTCTTGATGCTGGCAGCCCTAACCTTCCACGAATAACCGAAACCAACCGCCTGCGTTTGTTTGCTTTTTTTGGAAAGACTTACCGAAACGATCAGTTTCGTTGCAAGTCTTGCATGTATGTCTGTCTGGTATGGGACTACAAGGAGTAGACTGTAGATGTCTTGTTTTGTGTTTGTTTGTTGTCTTCCACGCCGTGCATTCCTAAAAAGGGCGGAACAAACCAAACAATGAAATGTGTTTAGTTCGCTGATAGTTGCTGAACGCATTATCATCAGCAACAATGTGCCGTCGCCATCCATCCACCATTATTATCCACGCATGCATGCATGCTGGATGTAGCAAGTGCATGGAAAGGGGCGGGACATACGATATTGAGACAGAGACCCATGTCAAGAAACTCGTTGTTGGTCATTTTTAATGGTCGTTTCCATTGATCATAAAAGCCAGTGGTAGACGCCTCACTCAGCCCTTCCCAAGGACAGTTAAACTCACTTGCCCCCCCCCCGCACATCACACACACAAATAACCCTCGGTACCTTTTGTCGGACTCAACAGAAGAGTGCACATACAAAATAAACATCATCAGACCTTAATTTAAGAGTGCACGTGAAGAAGAGTGCATTACATGTAGTAAGCGACAGCTACAAGCAAGCCAAGAAAGCTGGCTTCTATTGAGCCCATGAAATAAGCTGGCTTCTATTAAGCCGTCTACCCCCCCCCCCAAACAAAACACCCAGCCAGTCAGTGTAAAACAGACACAACAAGTGACACCATGCATGCATGCCACGTCAATTAACTGTGGGTGTATAATAAATCTATTCGAATGCGAAACGACTGCTGAACTGATCTGATATTCTTCTCGAATAAAATAAAAAAATGAATGCGTGAACTCAACTATTTTCCCCCCTTCATGGTTGCATCCTTGCTCAATCAAGGGGCGAAAGGCGCGAAATTAAAATTTCCCACCAATAAACGGCTGGGGGGAAAAAAACTAAAAAAATCGTAATTGTTGCATTTTCAAAGGAAGTGCAACATACGCATTGTCATCAATCGTGTCGTCATCGTCACAACGTCCCTACCTACTTTTGTACAAAGTCTGATCGTATGTGTTGTATGCGTGCTGATAAATGCAGTGAAAACCAAGGCATCAAACATACACGTGCGCCCCCGAAGAGAGACACCTCTGACATACTGACATACATCACATTATATCCTGCATTTTTTGTTTGTTAAGTTCACACGCACTCCCACGAGAAACACATTGACGAGAACGAACCAAATCATCTTTACCGCCGTGGTACCCTACCGTACCGTGTTCGTTCACGATCAGCAAAAGCTCCATGCCTCTGCCACCACACACAAAATAAAGTTTTCAAAACCTGTTCTCGAAGGGAACTCTGTACCATCCGCCGCCTGTCCCCCCCCCCCCAAAACGCCATCACCGGCATACACACATGCATCCATCCATCCATCCATCCATCCCCAACCAACTCAACACAAAACAATCTCAAGAGACAACATACATCTTGCATATATTAGGCCAATCACAAAACACACCACCTCCACAGTTGCGGCAGAAAAGCCTACCTCACCCCCCCCCCCCCCCCCCAAGATC